ATCACAACCAGTGTGCTTGCAAGTTTGGTGTAATCATTTGCAATCACAACTTGGTTTTTGATGTTACACTTCAATGGGAATAAAGGCTAAAAAATAATCCAAAACTCATTTTTGTTTTAAGGTTGGCCTGAAATTGTGACAAAAAACAGGAAAGACAAACATAGAATGTTATATGCAATTTCAGATTGTAAGAGGAGCATGTGCAAATGCAAATGTGTGTGTGTGTCTACTGGTATTTTCCCATATGATCATCTTTAAGAGTTACAGAGAATGATCCGAATAAGAGGAAATATCCAATGAATGGCAGCTCTCCGGACAAAAATGTCAGAGAATTGCCAAACTGCTTGGAGCTGATAGGAAGGCAACAGTCAACTCAAATGCCCACTCGTTACGACCCATCAAACCTTCAAGCAGATGGGCAACAGCAGGAGAAGACTACACCAGATGCCACTCCTGTCAGTCAAGAGTGGAAAACTGAAGCAACATCTCACACTCACCAGACTTCAATTTAATAAAGCACATTTAGGATGTGGTGGAACAGGAACCGCAACAGTGGGATACTGTCATGTCAATATGGACAAACATCTATTAGGAAAGTTTCCAGCACCTTCATGAATCCATGCCATGAAGAATTAAGGCAGATCTAAAGACAAAGGGGAGTCCAATCCGGTACTAGTAAGTGAAGTGGCCGGTAAGTGTATATAGTCCATATTAATATTTACTGGCTTGCTACACACAGCAAGACAAAAGGGAGTCCAATCCGGTGTTGTGCCAAAAAGTGATTGTCTGCCAAAAACTGATTTCCGGTATTTGCCAAAAACTGATTGCTCGTATTTAAATTGCTATAAGTAACTTGTTCGGCTATAATATGTGAAACATGTGTCAAATGCATCCCTCATGAGACTCGTCAAACACGTGTTGAACCTGAGGAAAAGAGGGCGAGACGGGCGAGAGAAAGGGAGATTTAAGTGCAACTAGGAGCAAAGGAAAACAACAATGAGATGGACTTAATGTTATCTACTGTAATGGTAGCTCATCCAGAGGTGCCCTCCGCTTGAAGGGATTAATTATTTCCCCTGGGGGGGATT